GCTCACTCTCTCCTGACCCCAAAGAAGCTGGTTTGGAGCTGCAGTAAAGCTGCAGCAGAGCCGTTCCCAGCCCATTTGTGTGGTCGGGTCATTTGTAGCAGGAACTGACTCATCACATCCCACTGCTGACGGGATTTCTTCGCTTTCTCCAGTGGGGCTACTCCTTTCAGAGCCAGGCTGTTCAAACACAGCTTTTCAGCTCCCTTGAACAAAATTCAGCCTGTGCTACTGCTTATTTCTTATTGGCTCTGAAATGTGGAAGGTTGTCACTACCTGAACATCCAGATCTGCTTTTCTGATGTCCCTGCCATACTTCGAGGTGAGAGTCGCTTCTAGAGGGGCTGTTAAATTAGAAATAGGGCCAGGGTTGATGGTTATAGTTAAGGGACTGCCTTCCTGTTTCAGAACCAGGAGGAGAAGGCTTGAAGTAAAGGCATTTAAAACAGCAGGACCAGCACTGTGCTGCAGAGAGTGATTATCAGCTCCAGTGTGGCTCCTCAGTGGATGCTGTACCCCTGCCGAAAACAACATTAGTTCTGGCCCTACCTTCAGCATGCCAGAATGCCTCCCCACCCTTCCTTAACTTTTAATCATTGCTGTATTTGCCTGACACAGCCTGCCTTGGAGTAGAGCTGATGTTAAAAGTGTACACATTTATTTGAGAGAGAAAGTTGGTTAAAAGTGTACACATTTATCTGAGAGAGAAAGTTGGTTTTCCTCCTGTTTCGTCCTTCTTTCTTTCCAAAAACATTGTGAAAGCCCCAGGCTTGTCTTGTCCAGGCTTCATGTACAATCCGTGCACCCAGTGTACTCCCTCCAGAAGTGCATTCCACATGAATTAGTGTTCCTTGGGGAAGGAACATGTGCACCCAGGGGAGTCCATGTGCCACACAGCATATGCTGTGCAGCAGTCTGGTGAAAATGGCAGGCGGTGGCACGCTGGGGTCACTGATGTGGCTGGGATGAGGCCAGCACTCAGGCTGAGTTGTCACACCCTGCCACTCGGGTGTGACACCACCTCTGAACATCACCTCCTTGTTAGCAGCTGGGCCAGTTGCTCCATGGTGGATTGGACCTCTTGCCCCCATGAAGCAAAATGCTGATGTGCTTTTCTTCCTTGGGACAAAGCAGAGAGGTTTTTTTCTCCATGGATTTGCCAAAAAAATGAAGAGCATCCCAAGGTTTTTAAGGCATCTGAAGCAGCACATGCTGAGACCAAGGTTTCCACTTGCAGCCTAGTTACTGGCCCTGCTCTGTTTTTTGCTGGGAGTTGCAGCCATTCCTCAACTATACATTGCTGTGTAGAGTTTCAGTTTTGGTGAAACCTGGGATGGGAGGCCGGGGGGAGTAAGTGAATTTAGAATATTCTAGAACAGATCAGGTGTGCTAAAGTGCTGAACATGGCAAGATTGAGATACCTTGACATTGGGAGCTAAATCACTGTAGAACTGGTCAATAATGGAATAAGTGAAGAAAACAGTATAAAATGTTTCAGGCTCTGCTTAACTGTTACGGGAAAGCTTCATGGAGCTTGCAGTGTGCCCATGTCTCATCCAGGAGCGTGGAGTGGTGACTGCTGTTGTTAGAAAGCATTGAATTTACCACAGCAGCTGTTTATTGAATTGCTGTGATTTCTGCTGGATATGGTGGTCACATCCTCTGCGTGTTCCCTGCAAACACACAGGTGCTTTGACAGAAGGAGCAAGGATGCATCAAGAGTGTATTGCTGGGGACGGAAATATGAAGGTTTAAGGACCTGGTTTCTGGCTGCAGCTGATGTGCTATGAGACCGGAGAGGTATGGGGATTTTTGTAGCCTGCTTTTTGTTTGCTGATAGCAGAGATTAATATAAGTATCCCTGGATAAAAATCCGGAGCCATTGCTGTACAGGCAATTACTAGTAATATCACTACAGTCGCTGTTGGCCTTGAGTCTAGGATTAGGTGGAATGTAATCTGTTACATTTTTCAGGCTGCTTTTGTTGGAGTTTTCTCATTATTATGTGATGAAGAGTAAAGCTGCATGAAAAATCCATGTCCAGTCTTGCTCTGCATCACAAAGCCCTTTCTTGGCTCTGTTTTGATGGTAATGCTGCTGTGGATTCTTTATGTGTAGAAACTGTAGACTGCAGAAGAGAGACCTGTATGCAGGCTTGGTTGGTCCTAGCTCTTGATTAGAGTCCATTATAAGCATCTTACAGGGGGAGGGAAGTATTGCTGAGTTCAACAGCTGGGTAAACTGAGGCACAGATGGAAAATGGTGCACCTTGAGAGTCTTGAAAATAATAAGAGAGGTCAGCTTTTCCCCTGAGTAACACCCTTTGGACCCCACTAAAACATCCCTTCCTGAAGACAGCCTGCAGTAGTCATGCACAGGGCATCTGCATTTCCTAATCCCTCAGTGATGTGAGCACTGAGGCTTCTCACCACCTAAAACACTCGAGAACTGAAGTCTCACTTTAATGTTAAGAATCTGTCATTTCCCCTGAACGAAAGGCTTATGTTACAGGCAACATATATGGATGATGTGACAGCCTTTTTGTACTTACTAAGTAATGAGCTGTTGGAATTAACTATTGGAATAACTGAAGGATGCATCCCTTATTCTTTGATATGTGTACGGGGACCACCAGTCAGAATGAAGTTTTAAATAAGAGAGGTTGGAAGATAAGGTTTCTTGTGAAGCCCTGTTGGCTAGTTTTGGTGAGCAGGGTAAAAAGCGCGCTCTCCTCCTTGCTGGGTGTTCCTCCTTCTCTCCCAGCCACTGCTCTGAGAGGCAGAACAGAAGCTGGGAGCTGTCGTACTGTTTATTTCACTAAGTGCCAGATGCTGGCACTTCCGTTCTTTCTAAACTTATGGTGGTTTGTGGTAACGTTGACTCTCGTAGTGCACTGGTTCCTAGCAGGGTGCAGATGTTTCTTGTCAGCTTTGGCCATCTTTCAGGGCTATAAATACTGCCTTTAATAAAGAGCAGTGGTGAAAGAGGACTGTGATTTATGAGTGAGGCTCTGTGAGTTGGCATGGCTTTTGAAGCGGCATTTGTACGTGAAAGGCTCTTGTAGATGTGTTAGCTCACCTGGTTATCCCTTGCTCTTGTCAATTGTTGGAGCTGGGAATTTGGAACCAGTCGTGCCTGATTTGAATGGACAAAGCCTTGACTGGGGCACGTGTCAGAGGACTCTGGAATTTGCTTTCTTCATAGGTTTGGCGTAGACCAAATTTAGAGAATTTCAGACGTTGGCTAGTGATTTTGGAAAGGGCTGAGGAGGCCACAACCACAATGTCGGGAGGAGCTTTTTTTTTTCCAGGATAGCTGATGGTCAATGATGTTAATGCTGTTGGAATTGTATTTACAATATTAATTCCCTAATGGAGCACTGAGACTAACCCCCTTTTGTTATAGCACCTTTTTATTTACACTAAAGCAAATGCAAAATTAAATCCCCAGTACTTGCAAAACAGGCTAGATTTCTGTTTTCCCCTGATAGTTAATGAAAAAGTTTTACCCACAGTGTAGATGTGTGATATTTGTAATGTTCTAGCAGCACTAGGATGGAAGGATGGAAACAGATAAAATGTTCCTTTCCACAGGAGCACTGCATACCTCCTTCTCTTAAACCGTGGATGGGAAGAAAGGTAGGACACAGGTCGATGATTAGTGTGGAAGGAGGCATGTAGAATGCCAAATATTTTTATTTTAAGCTCACTTAATATGAAAATCTCATCTTTAAAGGGTTAATAAGTGGCTAGCAGATATTTGAGTAAATGGCTATATAATTGTTACTGGAGCACAGCGATAGTTGTTTTAACCATGGCTTGTTAACTCTGAAGATTACAGTGGTGTATGAAGCTGTGGTATGTTGTTTAAAGTGCTATGTATTTAAAGTCATCTTTAACTCATTCCACTCATATCTGCCCTGTGCATGACCCCTGCTGATCATTCATTACCCCTGTGTAAATGGGGTTTTAGTAGAAAGAATTTCTGTGTAGTATTTTTAAAAAATAAAAATGCTGTCAAGTGCACACACAACAGTGCTGAGATTTTTGCAAGAATTTTCATGCCAATGTCAGAGAGAAGTTTTTCTAAAGTTAAAAGCCTGCCTGTATGCAGGGATGTGTATGTGGGGGTGTGCTTTTTGGTGTGGAGGGCTCTTGCCTCTTTGATGGGAGAAGGAAAGCTCACCAGAGCTTTTCTGCTATAGTAGTGGTGGGAGGAATCTATAAATGCATGATTTATCTGAAGTGCCCTGGGATTACCATGCTGAACATCCTGGCTTTGAGCAGCTGATGAGGGAAATAATTACCACCACGAGGGAGCAGGAGGAAAGCAGGGAGTTCTCCAGGCGCTGGCGTGGATGGCTTGTGTCTCTCATTCCCCAAACTGGGTTTCTTCCTCCGAGTCCTGCTTTTTCTAGCAGTGCCTCCCCATGGGATGTCCGCTGCTCATGGGCAACACAGAAGCCACTGAGAATTCTGGTGATGTCATTTCAGACTGGGGGAACTATATTGTTTCCAGGCAACTGGGGAAGAATGAGGAAGGGACTTGTGCTGACTCAGCTCGGAGTAACTGAACACCCTGGCTTAATCAATGCATTTCTCCTGTAAATTGGCTAATGGCCGATTTTTACAGGGGCCTCTTCAAACCAAACAAGCAATTGGGTTAAAAAATACTAGTGCAAGAAGCAAATGAAGAACCAGTGTTCTCGGGTGCAGTTGTAGACTGATAATAGCAAACAGCTCTCTCTCTCTGAAGTTAGCACAAGTGGTAGACACTTACCACAGTCAGAAAACCAGTACTTGGCTCTCTGTGTTTAACACTCTTAACTTCTGGTGGCTGCTGAATAAATGTCCTTGTTCTACACTGCTCCTTCAATTAAGTGCAACTTGCTACATTGTGTAATCTTGCCTCTGTACTGTGTAATCTTGCCTGCTATCCTAAGAGGAAACTGGAACGCTATCTTACCTTATTTTTCTGTTTTCCGTGTTCTTTTCGTCTCATAGCGATGTTGAACTGCAGAATGTGGTGTTAGACTCCAGTGCTGCCATGGGGAGCAATGAACTTCAGGAGAAAGATGCCACTGGAGCCCTTGGCCACGATCTCAGCAATGGCAGCAGCAGCAATTTGGAAGCAGCCAGGCGCCTGGCTAAGCGCCTCTACCATCTGGACAGATTCAAACGCTCTGATGTGGCAAAGCATTTGGGTAAAAAGTATGTGCTGATGTGAGGCCTTTGGCCGCATTATTCTCTTTGCTGGTTCTAGAAGGGTTTCACTCTCGAATGATAACCTTTATTTATTCCTTTGCTCTTCTGTAGCAATGAATTCAGCAAGCTCGTGGCCGAAGAGTACCTTAAGTTCTTTGACTTCACAGGCATGACGCTGGACTGCTCGCTCAGGTACAAGCACGTTTGCAGACTTTATGTTCTTGTTTTAGCAACAGTGCTGTTTGCACTGTTGTCCTGATTGGAGTGGTTGTCCTGTGGGGACTTGAGAGAGTGCAGAGAGGGCTGTGATGCATTTTTGGGACAGAGCTTTTCTCTTCAGTTTGTCTTGGTGTGCTGCCATACTCGGGTGCTACTGAAGTGGCGTAATTTCCTGGAGAGGGAAATCTTTGGGTGGACCTGCTGAGAGATGGTCCTTGATCAGAGGAGATGGAAAAACGTGACCAGTCACACAGTAAGCAGGAGACACAGTAAGCAGGAGACTTCTAGTCTGCCACGTACTGCTGGAGAATTAGGGTGTTGCTCACAGCTGATCTGCACAGACTTTCTGGATGATGCATTTTGGAGCTTGCTCTGCCTGGCTTCAGTGTACTAAATTTAGGCAGGGTTTGATGTGGCTCAGCAGCCCCCCTCTCTGTGTCTCCCTGAGGCAAAACAGCAAAAGCTTCCACGTGGAAAATGCTGTTGAGAGTTTGGTAGCTGCCAGCATGGGTGTTTGAAAACCCAGCCCTTCAATTTTCCTTCCTTTTTATGCTGGAATCAAGCCTCAACAATGTTTGTTTTCAGTACTTTTTTTCTCAGAAGGCAAAACACCAATTTTGTGTAGCAGTGGCCTGTTAGCACAGTTGCTGTGTCCTGGTGTTTAAAGGGATTTAAAACGAGTTTAAATCGTCTGGCTGAGGTTACTTAAGTGAGGTATTGTTTTTTTCTGATGATACAAATCTAGGAGCTGTGCATGCACTTCTCAGTCCCTTTGCAAGTGCATTTCCAGGGGTTACTGGTGCCATGAGAGAGTGGCAGACCCCATGAGCAAGGAAACCCCGGAGTCCTGCCTGCTGAAGGCAGTGGAAATGAAACATGCCTGCATAAGCATGAACTGCCTGCTCCCGAGGCAGGCAGAGCAGAGCCAAGCTGGAGCACCCGCCCAGCACTGGGTGCTTGCTGCTGCAGCAGTGGGAGGTCTGCTGCTCCTTCCAGGTTTTAGCAGCCCTGAAGCATGATGCTAAATATACCCTTCTTTTAAATTGTGAAACCCAACACCTAATTGCTTTGTGGCCCATATTTAGGAGGTTTCTGCTCCCAGTAGGTCTCCTGTTAATATTAATAGTCATGACCTTCTCTAAAATATGCCCAGGCTCATGTGGGACTTAAACAAGCCAGAGTTTTACTGAGGTTTCAGGGGTAGCTGCAGCAGTTGCTGGCTACTGTTGCCCTGAGCAGGCAGCAGCAGCCAGGGACAGGGCATCCTCCCGAAGCCTGGGGAAATAGAGGCGTGCTGCCTTGCACTTTGCAGAGAGCGAAAGGTAACAGCCCTGTTGCTGCTGGCTCGCTGACAAGCTGTGGTTTGCTGAGCATTTTGGAGCCCGTGGCAGCCACCCAAACCCATGCTACCCCCAGGCTGTGTGAGGCTGTTGTGCAGCCTCAGTGACAAGTCTGAGACTTGGGAAGGGTTGTTCCTTCATTGTCTTGCTCTGCTTCCACATCCTGGACCCCTGTTGTCCAGGCATCTCCAGTGTGCATCTCTCTCATCCTCTGCAGGAGGGGATGAGGTGGAGTGACTGCTCCAGCCCCTCTCAGAGTCTGTTCTGGAGTCCAACCCTGGACATGGGGAGAGCAGACTTCAGGCTACTCAGGTGACTAGTTAGTAAGGTCCCCTGGGAAAGTGCATTTGCAAGTGCTGGGGTCCATCAGTGCTGGTCACTTTTTAAGCACCACCTCCTATGGGCACAGGAGCAGGCAAATCCAAAATGTGTGAAGTCAAGCAGATGAAGCAGAAGGTTGCCTTGGATGACCAGGGATGATCTTCTGGAGCAAAGGCAAAAAAAGGTGTATGCCCAGTGAAAGCAAGGTCAGGTGACGTGGGAGGAGTACTAAGATGCTGCTTGCCACTGTAGGGAGAAAATTTTGTGAGGACAAAGCTCAGTTGGAGTTGAAGGTGGCCAGTCCTGTGGGGGACAATAAAAAGGGTTTTTTTAAATAAACCAGTAGAAAAAGGCAGTGCAGAAATCTCGTTGGCCTGTTACAGGATGAAGATGGTCATCTCAGAAAGAGGGACATAGACAAGGCAGAGATGTTTAATGCTTTCTTTGTCTCTGTCTTCAACACCAGTTATAGGCTCAGTGGGTCCACAGTGCTGTGAGCTGGAGGACCATGGCTGTGAGAATGCTAAATTCCCAGTTGACCCTGAAGTTATGTGGGATCTGCTGCTCCAGCTGGATCCCTGTAAGTCTATGGTGCCTGGTGGGATTCATCCAAAAATACTCAAAGAGCTGGCTGATGTCATCATGAGGCCTCTCTCAATGATTTTTGAATGGTCTTGGGAATCTAGGGAGGTCCCAATTGACTGTAAGCTGGACAATATTCAAGAAGGGCAAGAAGGATGACCCTGGAAACCACAGGCCTGTCAGTCTCACTTCAGTGACTGCTAAACCCTTCCTACTGCAGAAATTAAGCCTGTCCTAGATGGAACCAGGACATTATCCACTCCTTATTCTATACTATCTATGTCATGCCCAGATCCTACACCTTCCAAATATGTATATATAAACATGAGCACAGGTATCATTACCCTAGGCAATGACTGTCGCTCCAGAATGTCTGTTGAGTTCATTTAGTCCATGACTGTGTGTTCTATCCATCCTAGATATGTTCCAGGGCAGGAGGGCTGCTGTCTGTTGTCTGGTTGTAAGCTGCATCAGGAGCTCATGACTGGTGTCATGGACTGGAGGAGTCCATGCTCATTATCCATGGTGGTTATGGCATACAGTGTCAGTGTCATTCAGCAACCAGTATCATACAATTCAACATTACAGGCTGTTCTCACCCACATGTTAAATCCCCTTGAGGTACACATTGTGTTTCCCCTTCCCTCTGCCTTACCCAACAAGTACACTGAAGTCCTTGAGCAGAAACCACCCCACAGGTTTGCCTTTGCTTGAGGAAGAACTAATCCAAACTGTCTTCCCTAACATAGTCCTCATATGCACCACAGAAACTTTATCCACTTCTATGCTGCATGGAGGTTTTGATGGGGCAGGACCAGCTTGATTGGTAGGGCCCCTATTATTAACTAACCAGCTGGCCTCTGCTAAATGTAGATCCCAATGTTTGAGAGTTCCACCACCCATTGTTTTAAATGTGGTTTTTAACAGTTCATTGTACTGTTCAATTTTCCCAGAGGCTGGTGTGTGATGGGGAATATGATATACCTACACAGTACTGTGCTCTCTGTCTCAGGTGTCTGTGAGGCTGTTTTTGAAATGATGTGTGGAAGGGACTTTCCCTTTGAACATTCAGCCCAGCATGGGAATTTGGGATGCCAGGAGGAGCTGTGCTTCGGTGCCAGTCCCTTCTGAAGCAGCTTGAACCCCTTTGTAAGCTGCCAGAATCTCTTTTTCAGTTGGGGTGTAGTAAGTCTCGGATCCTTTGTATCCTCAACTTCAGAACCCCAGGGGTCATCCTCAGGTCTCCCTAGGTGCTTTTTGCCAGAGACTCCAGGAAGGACCATTCTTCCCAGCTGCAGTGTAGAGCCCATTTTTCACATCTTGTCCTGTCCTGACTGGCCCAAGGGCTATGGCAGGAACAATTTGTTCAAAAGCATGTTGTTCAGGACCCCACTTAAAATCATTCTTCTTCAAGGTCTCTTGATAGAGAGGACCTACAATATGACTGTAATCTGGAATATGCATTCTCAAAAACCCGCAGTGCCTAGGAAAGTTTGTGTTTTCTTTTTGCTGGTTGGTGGGGACATAGCTGCTATTTGGTTGACCATGTCCACTGGAATCTCACAATGTCCGTCTTGCCATTCTAATCCTAAAAACTGAATTTTCTGGGCAGTTCCCTTGACCTTACTTTGCCTTATGGCATGATTGACACTGAGGAGAATTTGGATTATCTTCTCCCTTTTCCCAAAAATGTCCCCTACTGTGTTGCCCCACACTGTGATGTCAGCATGGTGATGCCCCACCCTTTTTCCAGTGCAGTCTGGATCAGCAAATGGCAAATAGTGGGGCTGTGTTTCCAACCCTGGGACAGTTGGTTCCAGGTGTACTGGACGTCCCTGCAGATGAAAGCAAACTGTGACCTGCAGTCTGCTGCCAAAGCAATGGAGAAGAAGCCATTAACAATGTCAGTGGTGACATACCACTCTGCTGCCTTGGACTCCAGTTTGTGCTGAAGTTCCAGCATATCTGGCACAGCAGCACTCGAGGTGGTGTGACTTTGTTCAGGCCATGATAATCTTCTGTCTCTGCTCTCCATTCGATTTATGCACTGGCCATAATAATAATAATGGCCAGTCTTCGTGAACGAAGATCTGGGGAAAGGTCTTTTACCTTTCCAGCCTGCGCAATGGATTTTTTTAGGTGAGACACAGCCTGCGCTGAACTGAGCCCACCCTTTAATCCTAAGGTTCATCTGCCGGGGCCAAGCAAGCTTGGACAATGGCAGTGAGGTCCTCAGGACGTAGGTTTGTTTAGAGTGTCCTTCTCATAGATGGATGGCCTCACAGGGCTAACGGGCTCCATCTGCCCAGGAGACCGAGGAATCGAACCCGGGTCGCAGCAGTGAGAGTCCTGCATGCTAACCACTAGGCCACCAGGGGTCTCTGCACTGGCCATATAGGACTATTAAAGGGTCAGTGAGTCTTGCTAACCACTCCCTGGCTCTCCATTTCAGGAATTGTCTCATGGATGGGGGTCACAGAGTCCCAGTTGGTGCAGTGTTGTTGACAGTGCACTGTTGTGGTAGCCATGAGTACCTGTTGTTCTTCAACCATCAGCAGTCCCACAGCAGAAGGGTTCTCTGAGAGACCAAGCAGGGTATTCAACTGTCTAATTTCCTGTGTCTCCACAGCAGCTCTCCCAAAGCCCAGCAATGCCCTTTTGGGTCCTTGAAATACCCTCTCCTGAAGTAATCTGTGCCAAGGATGCACAGGGCCTCTGAGCCAGTCACAAGGGGGGGGGTTTGCCATTTGTTCCCAGTCAGGCTCACTTCAGCTTCCAGTACAGTCAGCTGTTGGGATCCCTCTGTCACCACAGAAATAGAGATAAATTCTGCCCTGACATGTCTCTGTGGCATCAGGATACATTGTGCGCCGGTGTCAACTAAAACCTTACATGCTTCTGGGTCTGATGTGCCAGGCCTTCGGATCCACATGGTCCAATAGATCCGACTGTCCCTTTCCTCCACCTGGCTGGAGGCAGGACCCCTCTACTTCTGGTCATAGTACTTGTTTCTCACTTGCAAATATGAACTGGATGTCCCTTCAAGAGGATTGGAAGCCCTTCAACTAAAAATTGATCCTGTCCTGGCTGGAACTGGGACAGGAGCACAAGATAGGAAGGACAGAGAAGCCCTGTGAAGACTCACTTATGTCTACTTGTGAATTGGGTTATTTGCAGTACATTACATGTGAAATTAAGTTATTGCCAGGCAGATCACACTCTTTATGGATGTGAGATTGTTGCAAGTACGGCCTGTCTCTGGCCTTAACATCGAAGAGAAAAAATTAAAGCTAATGCATCAAGACTGGGTAGATGTGAATGTTCCAGGAACGTGCCTCTCAGATTTGGTCTTGTTTTCAGTCTTATGGGATATTAAAAAATTGTCTATTAGACACTCATTCTGTATGCTGTCTTACTTCAGACCCAACAGGTTTGTTTTTTCAGGCTTTTCCTGGAAGCATCCTGACAAACGAATGCAGAAGGTCGTCTTTGGCTGTGAGGCACCTTTTTCCAGCAGGAAGGATAGGAACATGGTTAAGAGGAGGGGAGTTCAAGTGTTGCAGTAAAAGTGAAAGATGTGTGTGTCCCCCACCTCTCTGCACAGGCTCACTGGCTGCAGTGAGTGTGCCCCGTGTGTGCACCAGCCCTGCACCCTTGACTGCCGTGAGCAAGAACACAGGAGGGCCAGGTTACTCCTCCTGCTGTTGAAGCTCAGTGGGAAATGTTGCAGATCTTCTGCCCTCTGCACTTTTCCCAGATACTTTCTGCAGATCAGGTGGTCACACTGCCCCCTGCAAGGTGACTGGTGTGGTCCCGGCCACGACAGGAGACCCTCTGGAAGGAGGAGCACACGTTTGGTGTGAGCTCTGAGTCTGCTGTGCTTTTCTTCACCACTTGGAGTAGCTCCTCTGATTTGGAGGGGAATACTAATGAGTGTAAAGTTAAGAGATGCAGGGGTGACAGGCAATTAGAAGAGGACAGAGAACATCCTGGATGTCTTGTCTTGCGTAAACAACACCTGCTCCAGTTCCTTCCCCAAACAAAAGAAAAACATTAAAAATAACAAGAGCTCTTTCAAATGAGGGAATTACATATTATTTTGTATATTCCATGGCTGAGATCAGTGGTAATTTAACTTTCATTTCATTTACTATAATGCTGGAATTAACTGCACACGGAATGATAGACCATTTTCCTAGAAAGGCTCCTTGGAACCTAATGTCTGATGTGTGCTTACGTACTTCTTGCTGTGAAGTGCACTTTGCTCTGTGCACTGTGTGAAGCAAAAAGGAGATTTATTACTTTAATTTCACTTTTCTTTCCGCTTGCTCTTTTAGGAGTTTCTTTAAAGCCTTTTCACTTATTGGAGAAACTCAGGAACGAGAGAGAGTTTTAATCCACTTCTCTAGCCGATACTACCAGTGCAACCCAAACACCATTTCTTCTCAAGGTAACTTTGTTTCTGATACTGTGGTCTTTGGTTGTCTCCCTCTTCCTTCATTCTCACCTTCAACAGCGTGTGGGGCGTATGCGTGGCAACTGAGGTTGGGTAGTTGCCATGACACACTTTAGAGAATCCCTGTGGTGAGCATTGAAATCCTCCACGTTCTCCACACATAGTTGTGGAAAATCTATATTTATGCCCAGCAGGAAAGGTGTTTAGGCCTCCTCAGTGTAAATCCTCAGTTGTAGCTTCTCATATTTGAATGTCCTCCACTGTAGTTCCTGGTCTCACTGACTGCAGTGTGTGTGGGTGCTTGTACTCTCACTGCACGCACGTGGACAAGAATAGATCCCATCTCAGGTGGAAGAGAAAGTGTTTTCTTTCTGTACTCCATTCACTGCTTGTGTGTCTGCATGCACTGGCAGCGGGCATGGCAGTTCTTGCCAGTTGTGGGGGTGAATTTTGGGTGCTGTATCCAGACCCTGGCATGGTTTTATCTTGACTAGCTAACATCAGTCAGAGTGCTTCCTCCTTGCCAATGTTTTCAGTCATTTTGGAAATGGATGGGGAAAACAAACAAGCACACAGATCAAACCTGAGAAAACTGGTACTGGAGAAGAGGACAAACTGTCCATTGGCATAGCTGCTGTGTTCAGCCAGCCATGCTGGCAGAGCCACACGGCCCTGTGATTGCAGCACAGGCTGGTCACACACTGAGGGGGGAGGATGAGAAGGAAATCAAGCATGGGTTAAGCTGTACCTTTAGTCTCAAGTGTGAGTGAGAAAGAACTACTACACTTGGAAGTACTGCTGTGCTTCCTTACCCCTTGCTTTGTGACCTACCCCTGTTGCAATGAGGTGATTTTTGTCCACTTTGCGCCTGTTCAGCTTTACTGTCTAACATACTGGGAAGGGGAAGAGTTAGAAGTAAGACAGGATCTGCTCCTATGCTATCTGTGTCCTCTGCCTATTGCCTTTTTAGTTTCAAGGCACTGTAGGCAGTCAGGTAGAATGGGTGCAGCATGGGGAGACTGAAATAATGACTTGCCTGTTGATGGGGCAGCCAGACTCTAGTCCAGGGTGCGAGAGGGAAATTGTCACTTCTGATCCTGAGTAAGCATTTAGATCAAAGGGGGTCCTGTGCACTTTGCCCACAACTTTAACACTGTGTGCAGTTTTGGGCACCACAATATAAGGTATAAAGCTATCAGAAGGTATTCAGAAAAGGGATACGAAGCCATAGGAGAAGCAGTGGGGTTACATAGTTTGCTCAGCCTGGAAAAGAGGAGACTGAGGAGAGACCTCATCTCAGTCTTCAACTTCCTCACAAGGGGAAGAATAGGGGCAGGCACAGATGTGTCTGGTCTCCAGTGACAGAACCCGAGGGAATGGTATGAAGCTGTGCCAGGGGAGGTTTAGGTTAGGAAAAAGTTTTTCATCCAGAGAGTGATTGGGCTGTGGAACAGGCTCCCCAGGGAAGTGGTCACATCACCAAGCTTGTCTGTGTTCAAGAAGTGTTTGGACAATGCTCTCACATGGTGTGACTCTTGGGGATGGTCCTGTGCAGGGCCAGGAGTTGGACTCGATGACCTTTGTGGGTCTCTTCCAACTCTGTTCTGTGGTTCTATGAACCCATCTCTTCTGGTTCATTGCTTGGCCACCAGACCACTTTAGAGACCCCTGGAGTGGTCTCTACCCAAGACAGAGCCAAGGCACCATAAATAGGTGACTGAAGTTCTCCAAAATCCATTCTAATTGAGCCCTGAATGAGGAGGGAACCAGAAAAGGAGGAAAACATGATACTGTGCTACATATAGTCTGCACACAAGAATGGATGTATTTTACTCTTTCCTTTCTGCTCTGAATTAAATGAAGAAGAAGGTGTCGATTCAGACTGTGGTCTGTAAGCAAAGGGTGACAGCGTGGTCACCTGTGTAGTTTCCTGTCTAGTTTGCCTCATCCATGGGTGCTGCAAGATAGTTTTGACAGTTACTAAAAGATGAAAGAAAGACTGTTCTAGTTTGGCAGCTGTGTGATGACCTCATTGTTCATTTATTTAATTATGTGTGTTTCTTGATAAAACAGATTCTCGTAAGGGGAACAGATGCAATTAGGCTATGAGGCTCGTTTTCAGCTCCTCTTAAAGGTCCAGTTTTGGGGTTGCATGTGACTCTTGTTTTGTCTCTTTCTGCAGATGGAGTTCACTGTCTCACCTGTGCCATGATGCTGCTGAACACAGACCTGCATGGCCATGTGAGTATGCACAGCTTTGTGTAGACTGCTCCTATCAACACCGTGCTGGGTGGTGGCCTGCTCCTAAAGCCCCTGCAGACAGCAAACAGTGAGAAGGCTGCACTCCAAGGCCGTTGTCCTGGGCAGGCCTTTCCATCACGCCTTTCCAGTCATGTGTAAGCTGGCATTGTGCCTGGCTTTGCCATAATGTGTGAAGATACTCTGTGTCCCCAGGCCCGTCTTCCTGGTGTGCTTACCATCCTTCCGTGGTTACAGCAACTGGCCCTGACCAGGAAGCTGTGGATGGAATTGACTTCCCCTTTACAGTATGTGAAGACATGTGGGAAGGCAGAAGAAAGAGGGGAGGTGCAGAAGTTTTAGGAAGGTCACAAAGGGAAGGTGATGTTTGCAGGCAGGCAGTTGCAGGGGGCAGATCTGGTGAAACCAGAGTTTTGCACAGCCAGGATAATGATCGGTGTGCACAGAGACAAGAGGGTGGAGGGTGGACGTGGGCATGCTGAGTGGGAGCCCTCTGTTCCCCCACGGCACACTTCTCCCCACTGCCTGCCTGGGGGAAATAGTATTCTGGTTTGAGTCCTCTTAGTCTCACTGGTGCAGGGTGCCAGCAGCCCTAGGACAAGTATTTCAGCACCCATGATGCAATATGCCTGCTATGTATGGCATTCCCATGCTGATGGGAGGCTTTCTCTGCCCTGGAGTTAGGGTGGAGAGGGGAGAACACAGGGATCATGGCGTAATAGCATGCAGGATCAATGTCTTCAGCCAGGTGGCTCTGGGGCTTCTCTGTGGCTGAGACCCTTTGCTGCACTTCCAAGAGCTCTTCCAGGAGGGTGTGAGTTGGAAACTTAGACAGCAGGGATGGTGGTTGGGCAGCAGGAGATGGAGACAGCCTGAGTCTGTCACCAAGGGCTGCTCAGCCCCTGTGGGTGCAGCTTTGTGGAGGGTGCAGGTTATGGAACCAAGGCTTGTGTATTCTTTGCCAAGAGTTTTGAGGCCCACCTCCCATTCATTGAATGCCTTTGTCTGAAAATTGTAGAAGAGAGAAGGGAGTTGTGAAGAATTTTTTCCCTGAAGGCTTAGCCTTCCCCGACTGAGAAGTGCATCAGTGACGTGTGAGGGTGAGCAGGGGTACAGCAGCGTGTCCCAGTTTGCCTCTCAGCACACACAACTTCTGTTGAGCACAGCTGAGATGTCACGCACAGGTATCCTGCTCCCCAGAGCGATGAACACCCTGGGATTCCTGCTCTCCAGCCTCTCTGGGCTCACAGTCCAGGGAGGGAGAACAAATGGTCATGCATCAGCCTGGCAGCAATTCCCGTTGCTCCCTGCGATTCTTTAGTGGGCTCTACTGTCTTCATTAGATGCTGGAGTAAATAAATAAATAATCCAGCTGTGACCCATCATTGCTGCTGCTGATTTGCAGCTGAAGCCTGGCTGCTTGTTGCAGTGTGTCACTTTGGAGGTTTATACCACTGGCAGTTGATCGTGTGTTTTTACATATATGCAGCTGTGGTGTTTGCCAGAGTCCTGCTTGTGCTGTGTCATGTGTGTGTCATCATGTTCCCTCCGACCCCTCTGATTTCCTGTCATTTTGATCTTCCTCTTGCTGCTTTGCATTTTTCCACATAGGTGGTAAGTTTGGCATTTTTGACTCGGAATGCAGCCCTTGCAGATATGCCTAATTGCCTATTTCCTAACAGAGATAATGGTCTGCCCCATCCTTACCAGGAATTTGCTGGAGCAGGAAGAAAATGAGTCACTGGGCTTGTCTACACTGAACTCCATTTGTTACTGACTTACTGATCATAAGTGCAGACACTTATTTCACAATAAGCTCAACTGCTCGTGGGGCTGTGGTGCTGCTGCTCTGCTCAGTTCACACTTCCTTTATACTCTTGCAGACAAACTCTTACTTATCCCTCTATTTTCCCTGTCTTGTCACATTTCATTCTCTTCGTAACTTAATAATTTCGGCTAGCTGGGTCTTGGAGGTGCATGCTTGCCTCTCTGCACTGAGGTCATCACCCAGGCGGGAGCTAGAGACTCTTAAGTTATCTCTAAACACCAGGCACATCTTGTGGAACCTCTGTGGCACTGTGCAGAGATGTTAGCTTTGGTCCTGGACCAAAACAGCCATTTTTCTGCAGTGCCACATTGCTGTTGGGAATCTGTTGAATCTGCTGTTCACTGTGGGGAAGCTGCAAACTGCTGTGTGGAGGAAAGAAAAAGAAGCAGGCTGAAGTCTCAGTGAGAAGGGAAAAGCATTTGCAAGTCTACAAGACCAGCTCCAGCCTGCGCCTAAAGACTGCAGTTGTGAGCTGCATTCTGCAATCTTAGCAACCGGAGACCCAGAGTTACAGCCAGACTGTGTTGTCAGGAGCCTTCTTGTTGTGTGTGGGAAGCTGTGCATTGTTCTGGTATTATTGCTTGCCTTCTTTCTGCGGGTCTGTGCTGGCCACAAGCTGTGGGATTTTCTTTTCTGGGCAGGGGAGGCTGATGGTCAAGATTTGGTGGTTTTCCATTTCTCCCTAATCTGACATTATGAAAGGGAAGCAGAGGATGTACAGTCCAAGCTATCATGTAACTGTAACATTAAATGACTTGTTTTACCAGCTGGTGCTCTCCTTTGGGCTTCACTCATGTATTAATTTGGGCTCTTGCTTCTAGCCCAAGACACTGTCTTTGCACAGAGCTCTTCTGCTGTATTTGTGCAGACAAAGCATACCCTGACCATGGAGAAGTCATCTTCACCCCTTTCTCTTGACTGGCAGAGTGCCATCCCCAGAGATACCATGATCATCACAGAGCCCCATTTTTCCTCTGCCTTTGCCATGTTTCACAGCTCACCTCAGGCTGCTTTCCTTTTCTCAGATCTCTTTTGTTTTCCTTTTCATCAATGCAGTGTTGTCATTGCTGTCCACGCACAAGGCTCCCCACGTGCTAAGCATGGAACTTCTAGCACCTGGGGGTCTGAGTACGGACACTTTCTCTGAGGGGTGATGGGGACTGGGATCCAAGAGCAGTCAGGGCACCCTCAAGCCTCTGTATGGAACAGTTTGGATCCTACATGAACATAGCTGTTCCTTTGCCATTTGTGGCTCAGTTGGACAACTTTCAGTCTGAGAATAAGAGAAGAGAGAACAGAGAAGAGAGAAATGAGAACAATATTATGGAGATGTCAAGGCAGCCTCAGCCTGTTAGTCAGAAGAGGTAATGGCTGCTTCTGGGCATCGTACTGCAACTCAGGGCAGTTGATACTTGAAGGGAGCATTGGAAATTGTAACAGGTCTGGAAAGGGCCTCAGTCAGCTGTTCCCTTGTACCCCACAGCAGATTCAGGTAGAGCTTTTCCATCAGAGGCTGGTAGAGCCTTTTGAGACGTAGATGTAAGGCACCATGGAGATACTGGAGAGCTTCATCATTGCCCGCTTCATTACCCCCAGTATTAAGTTGTTTTTCTTTTTGGATGGGTGTGTGGGCCCTTCGGTGCAAAAGCACCTTCCCTTTTCTGGCTATATGCATACAAGGATGCTTGTGTCTGAGTAATCTCGTGAATGCATTCTTAGTGCTGCCTGCCTTGGGCTTAAAATGAGAGCAGGGAGATGCATTTAATCTGATGTTGCTCACTCATGTCATTTTGGAAAGCAGCAGGAATATGATGCTGTGTTTCTCTGACATCCCTTCCAGAACATTGGGAAAAAGATGACCTGCCAAGAGTTCGTTGCTAACCTTCAAGGGATGAATGATGGCAAAGACTTCCCAAAAGGGCTGTTGAAGGTAAGGAGTTAACTACAGAACATGGGGTTTCATTTTTACTGAGAGAAGCTTCAAAACGGAACACGGGTCTTGCATTTCCTGAATCTTAATTGTCAGACATGACAAGCGACGGGCACGTTTCTCCTCCCAGAACATACATAATATATACAGTGTTTATTCTGTTGTTTTCCCTCTTGCCTTCACTTGGTAGTGATTGAGATTCTCTGCAGCGCAGAGAGGCGAGACTGAACTCCAGCAGGGCTGGCTCCAGAGCTGTGTGCCTTGTAAAGTCCTGTGCCCATGCCAACCCAGAGCGCTGTCTCCTGATTACACTGGGCAGAAGCAGCCAGTTGGTTCTGACTTTGAATACTTAAGAGCTAATCTTGATCTCTGTGTATCTGGAGGGCATGTGTGTTTTTTCATCAAAGGTGCTTTGGGGTTTTCACATTAGAACTGGAGATGTAATTTCAGATTATAATGTGCTGTCTGGCACAGGCTGCTCTGCTTCGGGTTTTGTTCATTAAGTTTGTGCCAGGAGTTAAATCTGAAGAACGGGGAAGAAGGCTGAGCAGGACAAATCTTGTTTCATTGTCAATAATAATGAGAATGTTTCACTTCTTTTTTGTCTGATTGCTGGCGTGAAACAGCAGTCTGTTTGAATGAAGGCAGGTGCGCATACACTAGAGTTCTTAATTTTATTTTATTGTGATGGAAATAAAAATAAGAGGCTGCTGCATCTGAGAGCTGACCCAAAGCCTACTGAAATAAATCAAAAGAGTTGCTATCTCTTCTGTAGGTTTTGTGTCAGGCCCATTGTGAAATACAGATGTACCTGCATGGTTACAAGTGGCAGACTTTGTTTTCTGGTATTGGTAGTTTCTTTAGTTTCTCCAGCCTCTTCAGGGAGCTTTTTGTTGGGCCCTCCTGCCTGAGATCTTACTAAGTAGTGAGGCATATAAACTCAACACTCCTTTATTTTAGATTTAACGTCTTTAATTTTTAAATCTTGGTACAGAATATTCATCTGTCAGTAGCAACACTTGAATTTATTTTTCCCCCAAGGAGTCTCATTTCTCAGTTTGCCATAGAGGGATGTGTTGAGATTAATTTGCAGGCTAATTACAGCCCTTATTGAATAAATAGATCTCCAAACTGTGTTTAAATAACCTTCTGAGTGCACTGATGAGAGACTTCTACTGGTGCTCACCTGCTGTTTGTTTTCCTGCTGACAGAATTATGCAGCTGGGGCTGTACCTTCGTGTTTAGTGCTCACCTGCTAATGCTGAGTCTGCCTGGCTCTTCTCTGGGCTGTCCAAAGCAAAGATCAGGGCTCAGGATTTTTTAGATGTAGACAGATAGAAAAGTTCAGTGTCAACATCCCAGCTTACCTGGGGCTTTCTGCCCTTTTTTATGTGCTGCTGTCTTGGGGACAGAGGTGAATCCCAGCCTTGGTCTCTCATCTGGCTTGTCTGAAGATTGGCTGATGAACTGACCCTTGTTTTTTAATATATCAGTGAAGCGAGTGGCAGTAACTGTACATTTCAGTACCTCCTGTGTCCACAGCAGCCACCCTGCCACTAACTGTGTGATTACAAAGACTTAGCAGAAATTAATTTTGCATTAGTCTCAATAAATTAAATTCACAGAGCTCTGCTTCAGCACAGCACCAAAGTGCATTTGGCTTGCTGCTTCATTAGCAGTGGAGCTAATGGGCTTTGGTGAGGCTGCAAGCCATCTTCCCGCATCCTTCCCCGGCTGCCTGGGAGAGGATGAACAGTTTCCACAGGGTGGCAGTGTGTCCCTGTGGGAGTGAGTTCCGGAGCACCCCCGGGTGAGTGATGCAGACCCATGGGGAAGCAAGTGGGCTTTTCTGCCTCTTCAGTCTCTCTGTGTTCTCCTCATAGCTCTGCTGCACCGCTCTGTGAAGCTCTGCGGCTCTGCTGAGTCCTGGAGCAAAGCTGAACAATGCTGGAGGGAAAAGAAGACCAGGGAGACCTGAGTGCTCATGAAGCTCCATGCAGCATTTACTGTGGATCCGGATCACGGTGTTAGGGTTGCAAATACTGCTTGGGCTATCCAGGACAGTCAGCTGTCAGGCATTGATCAGACATTGTCTTCAGTCAGTCCCTTCACCCGTGGTGCTGCTGAGTGCAAAGTGTGGCCCTGAGTGTTTTGTCTGGATAGGAAAATAACCCATCAAGGGGCAGACATCAGCATGTGAGGAGTGACACGCTTCTTTGCTATCAGCCTCAGAAAACTCGGGACATCAAATCCAATTGCTCCTTTCTTTACACTTCTCTGAGGGAGCCATCTTTTTGTTTTGTTAAGTTTTTTCCCAACAACAAGAACGTTTTTGGTAAACACCACAAGGCCTTCATGACCTGATTCTCAGTGTGTTGCTGTCAGTGCTTTGAGAACAGATATTTTACTTTGGTTAGAGATAGAAATGAGAAATGCTAATATGATCTTGCTCACCTTGTGTCTTGCTGTCTGTTCATTAACACTGAAAAAAGTTCTGCTTTCATACACCCATCTGCACAAAGATTCATTGCCTTTTCTTTTTCCTCATTCCTTTGGTCAGATCTGAGGTTGCTTTTAAAGTTGGGACCCATAAAGACAAATGTGCCAAACTGTGATTAAAAGCATTCTTCTCACCAGGGGATCTGCTTTCAGTATTCATGTATTCAGTACTTTACCAGGCAAGCAGATATATGTACCTTGCCTTTTACTCCAACTTAGCTCCAGTTTGACTGTCCATCACACATCCCATTTGTCTGCCATCAGCTGCTAGTAAAGATTAGACATGGAGACAGTAGCCTGATTTCTAGTTGTGTTCTGTCAGTGCATTCTGACCAGAGAGTGATAGTTTATACTTAACTTCAGGGTTCCTGTATGCCTTCAAACTGGAACAGAGTCCTTGTAAATGAGAACCACCTTCCCAAGCTGAGATTTTTCTCTCAAGTGTAAATCAGGATCATCCATCTCTGTGGGTCTGGCTGATGTAGAAGGTGAGTCAGGACTGCCTTGAATCAGGCAGACTAAGGTTATTGAAAGTTAATTTTTTCAAAAGCAGGAAGATTTTTTGAAACTCCCATCCTTTGAGCTGTCACAGTCCAGGCATGCAAATAATTTTATATTGTGCCAAGCTGTTATCAGGCAAGGTAATCCTAAATTTCAGCCTTGATCTTATACTGTAGCAAAGGTCGTTTTGTTCAGGTGAGTTGAGGCATTGGAAGGAGTGCTAAATTCTAAGAGTTGTGACCAATGTGTGTTCTAGCTGGTGCTGCAGTACTCTGCTCTAGAGTGGCTCAGTGCTTGCTCCTAAGGCTGTTAATGAATCACATAGTTACCAGCATTCACAGGTGGGGATGAGTGACAGGTTTACAGGGACTTGAGTGAGACAAGGAGACCCAGCTGCAGCTCTCGTCTCCCATCATCCCAGATTAGCTGCTGCAGATGCTGCAGAGCTAAGGAGCAGAAGGAGAGAAGGAGCACTATCATGAATGAGAGAGCTGAACAGCAGAAACAGTTAAAACAACTAAGTTCAACCTGTGGGTTGTTAGCCTGAGAGAGTCATGACCAGACCATTGTTCTCTTATTACCTTAGAAAGGGAAGCCATGACTAGGGTCTCTCTGCTTGAAAAATAACAAAATCACTCTGATGGTTTGTCAGTGTCAAGAACCTCATGATTACAGCATAGGAGTGGTTCCTTTCTCACGTACTCGTACCAGTTTTAATCTGGTATAGTGACACTCTATAGTGGCACCGTAGCCTTCTTTAAAGCTGGTCTTCACAAGATTTTCTGGAATGAGAAGGAGATTGGCTTGGAAAGAGCCTACTTTTGGCCGTGCATGGTTGCTTCAGTTCCTACAAGCACTGTGGTCCCCACAAATAAAGTGCCAGTACTGTGCTGGCCACCGTGTCTTCATCTTGTCACCTTGTGGCAAGGTGTGTGGGAGTCCACTCCATCAAGGTGGCAGTGACAAGGCCTTTCATATGCAAGGAGAGAAAATGTCTGCCGTGGTCCAGAGAGCCTGCAAGGAGTCACCTCTGAGGAAACAGGTCCCTGCTTTTGTTAGGCAGTGTCCTGGGAGGGGTGCTCTGTTGTCAGGCTGTGTGCAAAGTACCACCTGTCCTGCATGAGTAAATATCCTCTGCATTTACAGTGTCCAGGGTACCTCGTTTGTAGAATCAGGGGCATCACCCAGGCTCTGACACGGGGCTGACTCTGGTGGCAGTGCTGCCCTGTGACATGGACACTGGACGTGAGGGGGTCAGACCTGGCTCTGTGCCTTCTGGTAGGAGGTGGCAGCTTTTCATTGACCCATTGTACTGCCTGGGAACCTCCATCATGCTGAGGCACCTGGGGTGCCCTGCAGGGACTTGGCTAGCATCATCCTGGCAGGGGCTTCTGATGGGGATAAGACGCCAATCCTGCTTAAAAGATCTGCTTTTTCTCAAAGGCTGTTTTTTGGATAGACCTTATCTCCTGCAGAAACACTGTAATGAAGTGACCAAATTAACTTAAGAGTTGCTGGTGCTGAACTCTCCAGTCCTCCTTAATTTCCTAAATGATCTGAATTCTTGATCAGGATTCCTGGGATATGCAATTTCCTGTAGAAGCTGCAAGGTAGGGTTTATCTAATTTTGCTGTCAGTTCCCTGCACTTTAATTAAAAATTTTATTTTTTTCTTTGCAGCTGTCTTTCTGCCTCCTCTCTCTCTCTCTTTTTTTTAAATCCCCTTTAAAAGCCCTCCAAAACAAACACTGAGTGTAAAGCGAGTTAGTGACATCTTGCTTCATCCATTCCAATCATCTCAGGTATTTAGCAGAGAAAAGGGGATGAGCATCAGGTGGCTGACTCCTTCCTACACACCCCCAGCCCTTCCTTTACACAGAGAAGATCACACTAATCGGACTGCTGTGTGCTCCCTAATTGCTCTCATCAGCAGTCTCTGCACGCCATCCATTTCCTCTCTTTATGGCAAGAAATTCCCACTTTCCAGGGAAGCCTGATGAA